TTTAAGCTACGATAATTAAATTCCCCCCTCCCATCAGGCTACTTGGACCAGGGTCTGCTGGTGCGTGACGCCTACAAGCTGCGTCGACACTACTTCCATACAAAAGGCTGGTCCATAGACGTGCTCTCAATGCTGCCCACCGATCTCGCCTATATATGGTGGTCGCCGAATTCATGCAATGCCAAAATGCTGCCCTGCCCCGTGATAGTACGGCTTAATCGTTTGCTACGCGCTCCACGCCTGTGGGAGTGGTTCGACCGCACGGAGACTGCTACTGGTTATCCGAACGCCTTTCGTATTTGCAAAGTGGTGCTCGCCATTTTGGTGCTGATCCACTGGAATGCCTGCATGTACTTTGCCATTAGTTATGCTTTAGGTTTCGGCACGGATAATTGGGTGTACAATTTGAATGGAATTCGGAACAGTACCCTGCAGAGGCAGTATATTTATAGCTTTTACTGGTCTACATTGACGCTGACGACGATCGGCGAGACACCAACGCCGGAGAATGATGCGGAATACCTATTTGTAGTTGCGGACTTTTTGGCTGGTGTGCTTATCTTCGCCACCATTGTGGGTGAGTGTTATCGGGATAAGGAATTTTAAAATTCTTCAGATATATATTGTATAATATAAGTGGGTGACTCGAAATTGGCTAACTACATCCTAAGATAATGGCAGTTTAGTGAAATCACTATTTTTCAAAACTTGAAAACGGGAATTTAGCTATGACTCGAAAAGTATTCTACTTTTTTAACATTTTGTTTCATATTCGGATTCAGGTACAAATTGTACAAAAGGAATGGCAGTCAAATGCCACAGTTCAAAATCACTGTAAAGTAGTGTTATAGGTTTCAAATAGGGCCAAATAGTGCAGTTATACCGCAGCTGAGTAAGACATTGCTGCCATTTGCTACCCTCTGTAAGATGATGAAGAGGCATCAGTCGGTTTAATGCATCAGCCAGTTTAATGCTTGCCCTCGGCCTTCTATGTACCTCTGTGGCACGGATCTCTTTATTCTTCTTTCCATGCCTCGCCGAGCTCTAAACTAGAAATTAACTGGGGCAAATTTTAAAATTACAGCAAGATTATCATGCTAGGCGAGTCCACGAACAAAAAGCTGAACTGGGAAAAAAATGTCCAAGAGGTTTAAGGGGGCAATGATCCCTTTGCATCATGTATTATTAGCTATACACGGTGGTTGTTAGGCTACTTTATGGGGTCTTCGTATAGTGGCCAAGTGTCAACAGGAAAACTATAAATGAAGCACTTCAAAAGCTGCAAATAACTCCGGACTCTGGTAGATCTCTAAACGAGATGGCTGTGCAATCTGCTACTCACTTTGTATGGGTTCGGGTGCACCGGAACATACCACGCATCGAGCTTGCAAGAGACTTTAACAGGCCTGGAAGGGTTTAAGCATGTCGCTCGCTATCTGCAAGCTGATTCTAAGAGATCTATCTGTTAAACTAACAAGGAAGATTACAGGTCCCCATAACGAGTTCTGCAGAAGCTGCAATTCTGAAGAAGAGCTAGAAGAATTTTTAGAAGACCTAACGGACATAGTTGAGGTAGGCATATGGCAACTCCTGGATTTCGAGAAATACACATGACGGTTTGAGTAGGAGGCCTAAAATCTAAGGGCCTATGTGTGCTGGTGAGGACACTGGCAGCAGCTTCAACCTAACCTAACCTCTCAGAGTCTTTCTGTGATCGAATCCCTAAAATGTGTTCTCCAAACAGAGTTTTGGATGGCTCTCGACATCTTGATTATCTTGAATGGGCTTTTGTGCTTGCTGTGGTTGTTTCACTTAAGAGCACAGCTCAAAGGTTATCCCTGACCTCTCGTCGAAAGTTCATTGTTTTAAGCAGAATTGCACTGTATAGTTCTCTTCCACATTCAACGGCGGATGATTCCTTGGAGTTATTGCGCTTCTTGTTCTTGTTGTAACAGCATACACATTCCCTAAAGAGTTTATGGGGAGTGTTGCGGTTTACAGCTGCTGCTGCCTGAACTGATCACGAAGTTAGGTAACTCCGTTAGCTTTAATCTCTGCGGCCCTCTTTGCATTCTGGAAAATCCTGTGAAGAATTATAACAATATAATTTTACTTCATATTCAGTGTTAAGGCATGAGATATCTTCTCTACACAGTCTTCAAAAGGATTTTCGAGCAGTGTCCAAACGCCTTTTTATTTTAGTGTGGTAGAATCGACAAAAAAATGTGGTAGATTTCCTTTCCTTTCCTTTCCTTTCCTTTCCTTTCCTTTCCTTTCCTT